GGCTTTTTTGCCTGGGGCGGCAAAAAAGCCAGAGCCGGCCCTGGCACAGGTCCAGCCCACTGGGGTGCCAAGAGGCACCGTGGGGCAGAGGGCTCTGTCCACCATGGGCTGCAGCCAGCGGAGCTGCACTGGAGGGCATTGGGGGTTGGGGGAGGCTTAGGTCTGGCTCTGGGAGAGTCATGGAGCCGTCAGACAGCTCAGCCTCACAGTTGCTCATCCTGACCCGGATTCCCAGTTGATCTCTCTCTGCCTCACAGTTAGAGGGTGCTTGTGGGGGCTATGACTGGTGAGCCTGAGGCGCCACAGACACGGCAGCAGATATGGCAGAGGGGTGGGAAACAGCGCTAAATCCTGATTGGAGGGTAGGCAGGGAGTCCAGAGTCCTTGGTTCTAGCCCACATCTGGGAGGGGAGTTGAGCAGGGACTGGAGCCAGGATTCCTGGGTTCTAGTCCTGGCTCTGGAAGAGCATGGGATCTGGTGGGTTAGAGTAGGGGGGCTGGGAGCCAGGACTCTTGGGTTCTCTCCCCAGCTCTGGGAAGGAAGTGGGGTCTGGTGATTAGGGACTGTCAGGATCCCTCCCCTCTCAGAGCAAGGAACCCAGGAGTCCTGGCTTCCCCTGTCTGTGATTGTCCTCTCCAGAGTCTTGTCTCAGCACTGCTGGTGACAGCCCCCATCTACCCACTGTGTACCTAGCCGTGTTCCTTTGTAGGCCCAGCAGAACACTCCACCATGAATCCGCTGTCGGTGCTGGACCTGATGGATGGGCCCTGATCACTGGGGACAGGAACAGCTGTGCAGGGGGCAGCAAATGGAGCGGTGCAGGGAGCCGGGTTATTGCGGCGAGAGCTGAAGGAGCTTTTAGGAGGTAGTGCAGGAAACGTTGCCGATCTCATGTCGGAGTCAATTCCTGTCAGTGAGATTAGTGGGGCGGGGGGGAAGGTGTCTGGGAACTTGCTGCTAAGAGATGGGGGTCTGACAGCGCCAGTATGGTCCTCGGGGCAATTGGAGGGTGGCAATTGGAGGGTGGGAAGCAATTGTGTGTGTGTCCTGGAATTGGTGTGTGTTTGTGCAAGTGTGTTTGCGTTGGAATCAGTGTGTGGGTGTATTGCACTGGTGAGTATGTGTGCAGTTGTGATTTTGCATTAGAATGTATGGGAGGAGCTGTGTTTGTGTTAGGGAGCGTGTGTGCCATTTGTGCGTGTATGCATTGGTGCCTTTGTGGGTGTGGATGTTTGCATTAGCCTGTGATTGTGTGTTTGCATCTGTATGCGTGCAGGTGTGTTTGTGTGTTTGCATTTGTCTGGTTGTGTGTGTGTGTGTGTGTGTGCGTGCAGGGAAATCAGGTGTGAACACACACGTGTCTATGTGTGTAGGCATCCCAGATCTGAATGCTCACACGTGTGCGTGTGAGCCCACCTGCATGTCTGCATTTATGTCTGCACTGGTGAGTGTTTCTTTGAGTGAGTGTGGTGATGTTTGTGCCTTTGCATTTGGCCAGGATCCCTGTGCATTTGTGCTGGGTGTGCAGTTGCGGTTGGCTGTGTCTGTGCTTGTGTTTGCAATTGCCGTGTGCATGTAAGTTCATTCCCCACGTTTGTGAGGGGCAGATAGAGAATTGGGAGAATGGGGGACCCAGCTGGAACCCCCCCCCCGCCATTATTCCTCTTTGCATTTCCCCCACCCCCTGTCCATAAGAACAGCCATACTGGGTCAGCCCAATGGTCCATCTAGCCAAGTATCCTGTCTTCTGACTGGTCGATGCCAGGTGCCCGAGATGGGATGGACAGAACAGGAAATCATCAAGTGATCCATACCCTGTCACTCATTCCCAGCTTCTGGCAAACCCCAGAGCCCAGATCAAACTCCACCTAGGGTAACATCATCCCTCCTCAATACTTCCCACTGGATTCTGGATTCTCCTGCACTTCCTGTCCCAAACTCATGCAGCATTGCTGTGTGCTGTTAAACAGACACTGCCCTAACCTAGGAGCTGTTCTCAGCTCAGGGCGAGGGATCCCTCTCTTAGCGGCCCCAGGGCCCCCCTCAAGGCAGCGAGCACAGGGCCATCCATGCGTACAGGGTGAGTATCACATGGCGCTCTGGGCCTCTTTGCAGCCTCTGGACTCCTGGCCATCTAGCACGGCAGGGCGTGGCCGGGGCTCCCAGCCGCTCTGTGGTAGGTGCTACTAATTGCACCTGAGTTGGGGTTTGTTTTTTTGCAAACCACTTGGAAGAAATTTCAGCCCGGCCCATCTTCCGAGTTGGGCCAGGAACAGACACACGCATGCCAGCTGCCTTCCACTATCATGAGTGCTTGCGGTGTTTGTTAATTGCTAAGTGGCACCAGTTAAATCCCCCCACCCACCCACAAACCAACTGTGGTTAATAGTGTGTGAGCTGTGGCTGAGGGGTGCTGGAGCTGTTTGCACTGGCTATGGGGTGCGGAGGGGTGTTGGTGTTGGGTGGCATCCAAGCTGGCTGCCTGGTGTTCTAGGGTGTCCATGCTGGTGCTGTGCCAGCTGTCCATGGGGGCAGGCTCAGGCTCTGGGCTCCCATCACGCTCAGAGGAGGCAGAGGGGAATGGGAGGCCTGTTTGACCCCTGAGCTCCCTGCTGAGGGAGGATTTATATTGAGGGTATCTTGGGGCTGGGCTGAGACAAGCCTCTCTTACTAATGGGCCACTTGCTGTGGCTGGGCTGAGGTAGAGGGCAGGGGGGGCTCTTTGGCCTGATCACTCCTTGAGTGAAGGAGACATGGCTGCTGCTCTGGAAGAGAGGTGGGCTGGGGTCTGTTGGGTGGGACTGAGCAGCAGTGGCAGAGCTGTCGGGGGGAGTCCGGGACTGGAATTGCAGGGGGGAGGGCAAGATTGAAGTGCATTAGCCATATCTTCAGCTGTTCCTGGGGTCTATCCCCAGCTCTGGGAGGGGAGTGGGGCGGAGCCTGGTGGGTTAGAGTGGGAGAGGGTTGGGAGTCAGGACTCCTGAGTTTTACTGAGTAGCCTTGTCTGAGTTGTTTTCTAGGATCCCCTCTCATTAACCTTGTCTCTCTCTCTCTTCCCCCCTCCCCCCCAGCTGGCACTACATACATCTTTGGGAAGGGCGGGGCGCTTATCACCTACACCTGGCCGCCCAACGACCGGCCCAGCACACGAGCCGACCGGCTGGCCGTGGGCTTCAGCACGCACCAGAAGAACGCCATCCTGGTGCGGGTGGACAGCGCCTCCGGGCTGGGGGACTATCTGCAGCTGCACATAGTAAGGAGAACCTGCACTTGGGGGGCTGCCAGTGGGGGTGCAGGGGGCCAGTGGTGGCAGGGAGAGCACTGCTCAGGTCTGCACCCTGTAACTGGAACCCATCCCCCCAAAAACCTGATCCTAGTGCTTTCCCCAGAGGCTTGGACCTCCCCTGCTGCCCCCCAGCAGCTTAGACTGAGCCCCTTCTTTAATCCCCCAGAGCTGCAATCTCACCCCCCACTCGGAGCTAGCTGGATCCTCAATCGTTTGCCACCCAAATGTTCAGACTCAACCCAACCCCCAAACCTCTGTTCCCAGAGGCTCGGACCCAGCCCAGGCCCTGATAGCAAGTTTGTGGGGGGGCAGTTTGTGCCGTCTCTGGAGGAGAATGTTGGAGTTGGGGGCCCTGTGGGGGGAGGTCTGGCAGGGTGGGGGATTCAGCTGTGTTTCCCCCCCCCCCGAAGCGTAACACTGGCTCAGAATATGGCTGCATCGCTTGCTGCACACTGCCCCTCTGTGCAGCTGCCCTGGGGCACAGCTGCCTGGGTACACGTTGTGCCCGAAGCATCAGGCACCTGCTTGGCTCTGCCAGTGCCTGGCTGGGGCCTTGTCTGCATCAGGCTGGGGCAGTCGCCCCCCATCCCTCACTCATGGCAAGTGCTGTGAGCGGTGCCAGGGCATCCCCGCACACACGCCAGGGCTGGGCTCACAGTGCCCCCATCTGACTTTCTCACACATGCCAATGCCTTGATGATCGCTGCCAGTGGTGGGGCCCGAGGCGGCTGGTGCTTAGGTGTCTCAATAAAATGTCTCAATAAAATTGGGACTGTCCCGATATTTAGTTGTTTGTCCCGACCGATGTATGGTCGAGACGCCATTTGTTGCCATTTGACGCACTCCGGCTTTTTTTTTTTTTTTTTTTTTGTTGGGCCCCCCCCCCTTCCCCCCCCCCCCCCCCCCAAATGTGTCCCGATATTTTGTTCTTGTCATCTGGTCACCCTACTGGTGCTCGTGCAACGACATGCCATCTGTGCTGTCCTTCACCCTGGCATCGGGGCGCCTCCCACACGTCAGGGTGGCAAAGCGAAGTCTCTGCTGGAGGCAGGGGTTGCTGGGAGTTCCATGCTGCTTCTTTGTGGACAGCTCTCCCCAGGGCAGCCCTTGGGGCTGGACCCCTCCCCTCAGCACTGTCCCCAGATCCCCCATGCCTCCAGCCAAGGCTGTGTCGCTCATGGAAGAGTGTGGTCTAGAGGGGAGCATGGGGCGGGAGATGGGCCCATGAGTGTGATCCGGAGAATGGGGGGTAAGGGTGATACTGGGCTGGATGGGCCCAGGGGTCTGATCTGGGGGGGGGGGGGGGGCAGGGCCTGGGGAGTACCAGGCTGGATGGGCCCAGGGGTCTGATCTGGGGTGGGGCAAGGACTGGGGGGTACCAGGCTGGATGGGCCCAGGGGTCTGATCGGGGGGGGGAACAGGGACTGGGGGGTACTAGGCTGGATGGGCTCAGGGGTCTGATCTGGGGGAGCAGGAGGGGCAGGGGATACTGGACTGGATGGGCCCAGGGGTTTGATGGAATACATAGCGCCCTCTGTTGACTCAATCTGTGCACTGCACCATCACCAGCTGAGTTTGTTTCAGGACAGATGTTGAGAGCAGCAGCACACACGCCCCATTCTGTACCACTGCCCACCCCACGTGCTCTGCAACCAAACACGTGCACACGCCCCTGCACACACACACACCACTCTGGAGTAAGCAGGACCTCCCCTCACAGCCAGGGTTTCTGCCCCGCTCTCTGCAGCACCCCCTGCAGGGAGAGGCCAGACTTGCTGCCAGTTGTTTATCCTGCCTGGGGGCAGCTGTCTCCCATTACCAGTGGTGTGTGTCATGTAGGCTGCAGGCCGCTCATCGGTCGCTTTCATCCTTGTTAATATTTATGTGTTAACAGCTGTGGGTGGAAGAAGGCGCTCGGTACTTATTAAAATCTGGGGCGGAGGGGGGAGGAGATGCTTCTCTACCAACATCTGTGTGTATCAAAAGGGACTGCTATGGGGATAGATTGCACATGTTAGAGATAGGGGCATGGGCCTTTCCCCTCTAGGGGGCAGCAGTTCCGATTAGCCCCAAGGCAGAGGACCGGCTGGTTCAGGGGGCATGGGGTTGTCTGTGCCAGAGGCTGCACATTGCTAGGTGTGTTACAGTGGCAGCAACAGGCCCTGACTGAGGGAGCAGCCCCATTGTGCTGGGCTCTGCACAGATGCATAGTGAGAGACCGTCCGTGCCCCAGAACCCCTGGGTTCTACCCCCAGCTCTGGGAGGGAAGTGTGGTCTAGTGGTTACAGGGGGCACAGGACTCCTGTTCCCTGCTCTGCTGACTGCAGCTGTCTGGTGGGGGAAGGAGTGGGGAGCTGGGCATCGGTGTTGGCACTGTATCAAGGGCACCCTTGTCTCTGCGATTGCCCCGTGGCATGCGCTAGGCCCAGGAACCTCAGCTAATGCTGTGTGGCAGTGGGGAGCAGCCATGCTGGCTGGGGGAGTGCCCCGCATGTCAGGAACAACTGCTCAGCCCCTGCGGGGACTCCAGCACACTCTCCTCCCGTCGGCCTCCTCGTCACAACCCCACCAGGCTAACACGGGCCGACAGCCTAACCTGGTGGCACGGAGATGCCTGTCTCATCTTACATGGCTCCCACAGAGCTCTCTGCATCCAGGCACATGGCACTGCTGATGGAAGGAGGGAGCCAGGACACCTGGGTTCTAGCCCCAGCTCTGGAAGGCGTTGGGTGTTTAGAGCAGGGAGACTCCAGGCCCTAGGGTTGGATTAGGACCAGTGCCCCCTAGAGGTGAAAGGCCCATTGAAGAGCTGCTCCCCCATGCTTCACTCGTGACCTTGGCACTGTCTCCCCCAGGGGCCGTGCACGTGCTTGCTCCCCCACCCCGGCCTGGACATCTGCCACGTGGCTGGGAACGTGAGCTGGGCAGGTGCAGCTGGATCAACCCTCAGGGCAGCATCAAGTCAGGCTGGGGGGAGGGGCACCGCCCAACTGCCTGGCATCCAGCCCCCCCAGGCTGGCGTGGGAGCATGTTAGCGTCTCCTCTTCGGCCCCCTGTGACTCACAACAGGTTAGCCCCGGCCCCATCTCCTGTACCCCAGTCCCACCACCACTGTGCGCTGAGCAGGAGCCCCTCCCCACTCCTCTCCCAGCCCAGCTGGCTGCTCCGTTAGCTGCACTGGCCTGCGGGAGGATGGAAGGACAGAGATGGGCCCTTCCCTTCCACGGGGCGCGGGCTCCACTCTGGCTTCAAGGTGTCTGGCTGGCTGGCTCAGGGTGGTGGGGAATGGACATGGGACTATTCCCCACTAGGGGGTGTCTGCTCCCATCCCTGGGCCAGGAGCCTGGCTGGCTCATGGGAGTCATGGCCTCCAGGCCCCGGGTGCCCCGGCCAGGTTGTTCACCCTGCTCCCTGCTGCACTCTAGTGGGGGGTGGGGGGTGCACCTGGTTACCAGCCTGGCCCAATCCTACTTAGCCACGAGATGAGTTGGCATCTCAGCCCAGCTGGCTCCTGAACTCAGAGCTGGCGAGGGGCACAGCGTTCTGAGCGGGCGCTGCACGTGCCAGTTGTCTGCAGGCCCCGGGCGCTGTGTAGGAGGATGTGAAGGCAGGTCAGTGATTGGGCTGATGGGGAGGTCATTTGCACAGCTGCCCCCCTCATGCACCCTTACGCCTGAGTGGGCTTCCAGCATCTCCAGATGGGGAGCTGTATGGGGGCACCCACACCTACCCTCCTAGATACACCATCCCAAACACAGTTGTCCTTTGTATGTGTCAGCTGTGTCCCCAGCTGTGCGAGCAGCCCTGAGCACAAGGATGCGTGCACATCAGTGTGGCGAGGCGAGGCGTCTGGATGTCTCCATGCACACCTGTGCACCAGGGTTGTGTGTGGCCCTTGGCACACCTGGACACAAGGCATATACAAGCCTGTGCACTAGCAAGCATTCCCACTAGTGCACTTGCACACTCAGATGTGTGCCCATGCACCCCCACACCCGGGCTGCTGGGCCCCGTCCTTCCCAGCACCCTGCAACGGAGCCAGAATCTTTAATGAAGAGAAAAGTCTCGCAAAAAGCCTGGAGTCACTTTTTAATTAATCAGAAAATCTCCCTATGAACCAGTTTCACGTTTTCGACTGCGGCAGTGGAATCTGGGGGCTTTGATAGGAGAGTCCTGCTGTGTCGCTCGCTCTGGGAATGGGGGAGACACAGGGGGCTGCAGGAATGATGGATGGATGGATAGGAGTAGATAGAGGGCTGGAGGGGAATGGACAGAATGGGGTGAGGGTATGGGGGAGGGATGGGTGGATCGATGGAGGAGGGGTGAAGGAGTTCAGGAGGGAGGGATGGTGGAGGGGGGATTGATGGAGGAGGGGTGGGGGACGTGGAAGGAGGTGGGTGAAATGAGCACTAGATCCTCCTAATAATGCTGCAGAAAGGCCAATAGGCCCTGGTCCTGAACCCATCTCCACTGCTCCCTCCCCACCTCAGTACTGAGGGCAGGGTTCATGGAACTCTTTCCCCCCCCCCCCCCGTGGCATTGCACCAGCCTCACCACCTTGGCGCAAGGGTTCTGGCTTCTCTCCAGCCCCCATAGCCTGATGCTGGGTTGGGTCAGGAGGCGGGAGCACCTTGCCTTGCCCAGACAGTTGGGGTCACTCGCTGGCTAACCATGGGGGGAGCTGTCCTTGCAGAGCTCAGCTAGTGTCATCTTGTTGCATTGAGACTGGAGACCAGCTGTGGGGCTGGTCTAGGGCCTGGAGGTTCACGGTAGCTGGTGTGCGCATGTGCGTAATACAGTAGGTTTGGTGTGCACTTCTGGATGTGGGGCTGCATGTGTACAATACACAAGGGGGGTGTAGTTGCTGATCACAATCGGATAGATTGTATAAACATTTGTGTGTACTGGTCTGTGTGTGTGTAAACTGTGCATATAGCTGCGGGGGGCTGTCTCTGAATGTGTGTGTA